TAAAAGGATTTTTCAGTTGGTTCTACAGAGGACTGGGACTGGAAAGAAGAGTATTAACTTTTTAAAATTCCTTTCCTTCCTAGAAAAAAACCTAATCAAACCTGTGCATGAGACTGTTGCTTTATTTTTATTTATTTTTGAAGGATAGCAACAATCAGATAAATGCAGTGTCTTTGATCCAATTTGTCTTTAGTAAATGTAATGAAAAGGATGTTCTCATATATCCTATCTCCTAATTTAACATATAAATCACTCACAAAAATATGATCCAGATGGGTTTCAATGAAGGAAACCAATTAACTCACACTGCCTTACCATCTGACACATTAGTTGTGATCATAAAAATACAAACAGCATGGTCAAACAATAAGGTTCTGTCTTATATCTGACATTTCCAATTAGTTTTGGTGCTCTGTAAGCTCATTCAACCCCCTCCTTCCCACCCTCTACAACAAGACTAAGCAGCAAGCATTTTGTCTTCCAGCAAATGCACATATAAACTGTGTGTTTACAGAGCAAACTCTGCGGATGAAGCAGATTTATCGGCATTCCCCAATGGGGCAGTTTTTGGAACTAATGTATGCTGCATCTTGTCCACATCTGGTTTCTCAATTATGTTCAGAATACACTTTGCTTTCAAGTGCTCTGATAGCACAACAGTGCCAAACCTGGAGGACAAAATTACTTGTGGGCACTTCACAAACATCTGACCTGTGTCTACAGGCCATTGCTGCTGCTGGAAAAGTTGTTGTCTTTTTTTAAAACTGGTTTCCTAGAAATACAGCCTCTAGCTTGTGACAAGGCCCCGTTTGGCACTCAGGTTACATTGTCAGGTAATTAGCACTGCAACAAGCCCCTACATGTTGAACTGCAATTAGCATTACTGACTAAATGCTGGAACTGCACACCAACAGCCTGTATACCTAATACACCTGGGGCTCACTTCCGGAAGGGGCTGAGGGTACAGAGCAGCCAAGTGAGCAAAGAATACACTTCTTCAAGGGTTATTCTCAAAGGGTTCATTCCTGAGATTATCAAATGGAATTAATTTTCCCTTCAAGAAACCATTTTAGCTTGGATTAATTCCTTCCGGCATATCTACCAACTGCTGCTTCTCCCATCATTCCACATGCCAATTTGTACAATAAATCATGGGACATGTTCACACCCAAATGGTCTGGAAGGGCAACACACACAGAGAATGAATTTCTCCACATCAGTGGCAGTGTCAGCAAGTGTTAGTTTCACTTAATAAAAATTTGTGAAGAGAGTTACCCCTTAACCCTAGTGTGTGTGGGGTGGGGTGGGGGGGAGGGTTGATTAACACATTTTAAGAAGTTGATAAATAAGGATAAGGAAACCCTCCTTCATCACATTGTTTCCTTTAGAATGGTAACTGCAAAGGATTGGTAATCTTAGTAATTCCAATAATTAGAGACTGATACATTAAACTAAGGATTGAGGCCTCTGAATCCCTGGAGAAGAGCCTAATGCTGGGAACAATAGATGGCAAAAGAAGGGGACAGCAGAGGATGAGGTGAGCTTGAGTGGACTCCGGGGGATAGTGGAAGACAGGAAGGCCTGGAGGAATGTTGCCAATGGGGTCGCGATGAGTCGGACACGACTTCGCGACTAACAACAACAACATTAAACTAAGGGATTTTGTATTTTTAAATAAATTAAATTGTATGACAAGAGCTAGTTAGGAAAGGAACTCTTGTGCAAGGTTAGAGTGACAATGGAAGTGGTTTAAATGATTTTTGAATAATCAACAAATTACAATGATTGTTTGTAACCCATGTTGCTTCACATTACATTTATATCACCACTTTCTCCTCTTGCGAGGAACCTAAGGCAGCTTACAAGGCTATGCTTTTCTCCATTTCTATTCTTATAACAACACTGTAGGATAGATTAGGTTGATAGTGAGTAAATGGACCATGTCATGGAATGAGTTTCATGGCTTAGTGACGACTAGAACCCAGAACTCCCAGGTCCCTAGTCCAACTCACTTCCACCTACACAGGTGGGAGTGCAGAAAAGACATAAGGCATAAGGCATAATCTGGCTTTTTAGTGCACTGTTTCTGATTCTTCTTTTCCTTTGCTAAACTTAATTTTCAAAGTAAAGAGAAATCTGAATAAAAACTGTCTGACCTTCTGCTGTGCTATACAAAATTCCAAAGAAGCCAAATGAAAATATTGAACTATACAGAATTTCCATCTTTTCAAGTATATATCTGAACTGAGTCCCAAGAAAGGTGAAAACAATTTTAATGAGCCTTGGGTATTCCACAGAATATATAGTTGTAAGCAAGTTGGTTTGGTTCCATGTTTCTGCTTATTACCTAAGTTATGCCAAACTTCAGTATTTCATTACGAAGAGCCAATGGTGCTCTGTGTTTGCACAATTATTTCTACATAGAAAATACTGCTGGCAAATGAAAATCGGACCCAGCTTGCAGCCCTGCTACTTGGTACCACACAAGGCTTAAAATGTCTAATGTGCTTATAATATCAAGAGTCCTATAAGGGTATGAAAACACAGGAGAAAGCTTTGGACTATATTTCTAGTGTAAGTGAAAAACAGACACTGGCCTGCTCTGATCCATAAAACAGACCCATAAAACATGTGCAGGCCAACAGCAGTATCAAATGTGACTGCAAACTTAGTGGCACTGCATCTATAAGTAAGCCAGTGAAAATGGTGCCATCCACAAAGATGGTAGGAATTTCAAGAAAAACAAAAAGGAAGGAAGGACAGAAAGATAGAAAGAAACCCACAGCCGTGGCTTGGCTATGGTTCACCATTAAGATAGCAGGAAAAGCCAAACTTCATGGATCCCTTCCCTCATCCAGGAAGCAGGTAGCTATCCATCTAAACCAAACATTCCACTCTCTCTCCCTAGGGCCAGTCCTACAATTAGGCAGAGGCACTTGCCTAGGCAGCAGATGTTGAGGACTGCATTGGGGGGTGGGGGTGGAGAGCTGAATGGCCAAAAAATTGCCCTTTGCTTCCCCCTCCAAATAGTCTGTTGCTCGAAGAGAATGGTGTCTCACCACTGCTGTTGAACAAAAATTCAACTGCCGATCTCAATTAACTTTTCATCAAAGAGCAGGGAAAGTCACCATTTTGTCTGTCAATTCAACAGAATCCTGTCTCTCCCACAAGATTACTCCTGCATCAGTGTGTGCAAACACAGGTGATTCATTACTGGTTCCCAACTCGTCTTTCTCAAAGTTGGCAAGGTTGTTAAAACTTGCATTTCTGCCAAATATTGCCCTGCATCCTTGCAAGGGCAACGACAAGTCTAGCCAAGACTATAAACACAAACAAACCTCAAATGAAAGTGGAAGCAGGGACTGGTAAGAGGGGAACAACAAGACCTTCTTTCACAAATGTGAAGGATTTATCACGTTGTGGTTGTCCAGCAGCCTCCCGCTACCTAAGAACGGTTATCAAACAGAGGTGGGGAACCTCTTTCAGTGTGAGGGCCAAATTCAACTTGTTACATGATGAGTGAGCTCAAAGTAAAAAGGGTGAGACCTAAAATACAAAACATACCAGCATATTGTAGCTTAAAGCTCTTTTTGTTGTTTAGTCGCGAAGTCGTGTCCAACCCATCGCGACCCCATGGACAACATTCCTCCAGGACTTCCTGTCCTCCACCATCCCCCGGAGTCCACTTAAGCTCATACCAACTACTTCAGTGACTCCATCTAGCCACCTCATCCTCTGCTGTCCCCTTCTTCTTTTGCCATCTATTTTTCCCAGCATTAGGCTCTTCTCCAGGGAGCCCTTCCTTCTCATTAGGTGGCCAAAGTATTTGAGTTTCATCTTCAGGATCTGGCCTTCTAAAGAGCAGTCAGGGTTGATCTCCTCTAGGACTGACCAGTTTGATTGCTTTGCGGTCCAAGGGACTCACAGGAGTCTCCTCCAGCACCACAATTCAAAGCTCTTACTCTCAGTAAACAAGTCTCGGGAGATGCATTTCAACCTTTTAGAAGTGTGTGTGTGTGTGTGTGTGTGTGTGTGTGTGTGTGGTGGGGGGAAACTGCACAAAACCTTAAAACCATCAAATGTTTGATGGTTGGGGGAAAGGAGGAGGAGTCAGGGGGAAAACGTGGCAGACTGGGACTGACTGGAACCCCTGGAGAGCTGGATTTGGCCTATGGGACCGAAGTTTCTCACACCCGGTACAAAGATATTTGATTGGCAGGAATCATTATGTTTAAATTCCACATTTGCGGTCCTGATCTGTTCATGAATTTGTTGTTGTTGCAAGTATAGCCATAACCTATAGTAGCTCACAATTTATGAAGCCATCTTGTGTATGGATTTCACCCCGTTCAGAGCATAAATCTGACAACTCTGTATTACAGTAATTCTATACTAATGCAACTATAAAAAAAATTAATCCTTCAATATTTTTACTTTATGGACACCATAATATTTTAAATGGAAAAAAATCATTTAAATTTAACACGTTTAATTCATTATATAATTTAAATTCTGAAATACAGAGCTTAATAAAGTTCAGGTCTCTGGGTCACACAAACTCAATCTACAGTGCAAGTGAGTAGAAGGGGGACAAGGCATTAACATAGGCCTAGGATCTGTTGTCTGAATCCTCCAGTCTTTTTTCAATAGCTCTCAATGCTGAGAGGAGATAGAAAGTTTACAGGAATTTCTGCACTACTTTAACACAAGTCCTAGCTATTGAGTCTCCATGTATAGGCATTAGCTGTCTTCCAGCAACTAGTGTGCTGGGCATTAAACCTGGAGTCAGCAGACAGCACAATACCCCCCATGTATCATGATTCATTTTAAATTGTAATGCTCGATCAGCAAATGAAGAATTCAGTAAATACAAAGAACAGATAGAGTCTCAGGAGAAAGAAGGTACATCAACAGCACAACATACCACATGTTTCTGATGAGTCTCATAGAAAACAATAAGCTTTTCACAGAAAGTGTAAGCACACTTGTTTCTGACCTACCTCGACTGGGAATCTCCTCCCGTTGATGCTGTGCTCGGAGCCAGCTGATCCATTGCTCTGACCCCAGTGAAACTCAACCTTCTCAGCTTTGAATCTGCCTGGTAGCCCAGCACCGCTGATGAAATAATCATCCTTTAGGAGGATGGCAACTGAAAGGAGGAGGAAGAGAAGAAATATAAGGAGAGTACAAGCCTGAAAACATTTCTGGTTGTTAAATCTGCAACAGCTTTTTACACTGAAGCAGTATCTCTTTTCCAGGTACAGATTGGGACCATACCTAATCTCTGTTCTGTTCAAGGTCCTGTTGACAAAACAGTTTATGCTCAGGATCCCAAACAGCCATAGGTTCCAGTTCCTTAAGTTGGTGCAGTGGAAAATTAAGGTTTCTCTTGCATACAGGGACCTGCAGATGTTCATCCTTAACTCTGCGGAGGTCTGTGGTGGGGTCAGTGGGCACAAGTCTGTCCCGTTCCCCCCGCCCCGCATGCATCCACTTACCCTTGAAAGAATGCTCTTGATTGACCGGATCAGGAGTTCAAGGGGCCAGTGAACAAATGGGAATTACATTTGGCCCCCAAAACAGGAGCATGAGCTATTTCTTGAGCCTGAATAAGTAAAAACGACATCAATGCTCTGGCATAATAAAAGACCTAAGTACACTGATAAGCAGTTCCATGGCTTTCTAAGTGCCTTATAACCAAGTGTCCACATAATTAGAATTATCACTAAAATATTTTGAGCAGTCTCCAGACAATGTGGCTATCCCTCAAAATATCAGGGTTTTTTTAAAATAAAAATACTTTCTCTCCTTTAATCTGCTCTATTACAAAGAAAGAGAAAGAAATCTGTAGAATGATGCACACATCTTGTTTTAATAGATTAAGTAGCCCAAAATGTTTAAAAATTCTGCTGCCAGAAAAAGGTGTATTTTCATTCTAATACTTCTTTGCACTAGGAGCTAGCACAAGCAGACAGAATACTGTTAAGGGAGACAAGCATTTCCTTGTTTCCACCAAAGAGTTCTTGGCCACAGCCACAAGTATCCAAAACTGTATTTGTGGTTTGAATACTTGCATCACAGTAGCCAAACCTCTACATCTTGAGACTGCCCATGACAGCTTTCCTTTTCTGCAGCAGATACCAAACAGTATTAATCCTCAGGTGCATGGCATTGTACTCAAGGGCAGCCTTCTCCCACTTCCTGCCTTCTGGGTGCCTTGGACTGGGACTCCTGCTATGCCCAGCCAGCACGGTCAATGATGGAACTTATGACGGACCTGATAGACCTTCCAAATGTGTTGGTCTATCAGGTCATGGAAGGCTACTTCGTTCTAGGCAAATGAATGCCTTTTCTGCCACTTTCACGTCAAAAATAATTATTCCATTCCACCCACCTAATAGTCAAGTAGTTGTTTCCATTGATCAATAGTTTGCTGCTGTTCGCAGGTTTCCTCTACATCTTGCCTACTGTCAGGGTGCAGATGGAAATATCAGACAAAGTGGATCTCAAGATGGATCCTGAATAATTTCAGCATGTTAGCTCCCCTTACCTTGAAAGCCTGACTTTCATAATAAACCTTTTCTGTTACCTAGCATGCAGTATCCATAATTTACAGTCACTGGTACTGTACTGAGTGCACTAATGAAATCCAAATGGTCTAGAAAGGATATCTGGTTATCTGGCATTATTCAAATTTAATAAACTTATGCTATTTTAAAATTAATGGATCTCCCTATTATATTAGTAGTAATAAACCAGTGAGTATTACTTGGAACTACAAATTTTTAAAATGGTTGAAGGCAGCCGAAATGCAAGTCTGAATAAGAAATCCTCAGGCTGAAGTACTATGCACAATTACTTGGGAGTAAGCCCAATGAACCCGATTCTCTTATAAGGAGGTGAGAGCAGAATAAGGAGAACGTCAAGGTTTGCAGAAATACAAAAAAGCTATGGGAAGGGCCCCCAAAGTGGGAGAATCCAAACTGACCACTGAGAATTGTGCAGGGAGAGAGACAGGGGAGTGCGTCCCTGTTAGTTCTCCTGGACCTCGCATCAACCATGGTATCCTTCTGAATAGGCTAGCGGGATTGGGAGTTGGAGGCACCGCGTGGTGGTGGTTCCGCTCCTATCTCAACGGCTGATTTCAGAAGGTGGTGTTGGGGGACTATGGCTCTGCGCCATGGCACTTATGCCACGGAGTTCCGCAGGGGTCCATTTTGTCCCCCTTGCTATTCAACATCTACATGAAACCGCTGGGAGAGGTCATCAGGAGGTGTGGGCTGCGGAATCATCAGTACGCTGATGGTACCCAGCTCTGCCTCTCATTTTCCACCAATCCAGGTGAGGCAGTGGCTGTGCTGAACCGGTGCCTGGCCGAGGTAGTGGGCTGCATGAGGGCCAATAAACTGAAGCTCAATCCAGACAAGACGGAGGTCCTGTTGGTGGGTGGTTCGGGCCTTGGGATGGGGGGCTTGGGCCTTGTCCTAAATGGGGTTGCACTCCCTCTGAGGGACAAGGTTCGCAGCTTAGGAGTGCTCCTCGACCCTGAGCTGTCTTTAGAAGCCCAGGTGATGGCGGTGGCGAGGAGCGCTTTCCTTCAGCTTCGGCTAATCCATCAGCTGAGTCCCTTCCTGGAGAACGATTGCCTGGCGACAGTGACACATGCGTTGGTAACTTCCCGATTAGATTTCTGCAACGCACTCTACGTGGGGCTACCCTTGAAGACGGTCCGGATACTTCAATTGGTGCAGAATAGAGCTGCTAGGCTGCTGACGGGGACTGGGCATTATTCTCATATAACCCCAGTTCTCCATCAGCTCCACTGGCTCCCGATTGAAGCCCAGGCCCAATTCAAGGTGTTGGTTATGACCTATAAAGCCCTCAACGGCTTGGGTCCTGGGTATCTAAAGGAACACTTGCGTCCATATATGCCCTCCCACCCCTTGAGATCAGCAACAGATGCCCTTCTCCGGGAATCCTCCGTGAATGATATTAGGAGGGTGAGTACCCAGAGGAGGGCCTTCTCTGCGGTGGCGCCCCACCTAGGGAATGCGCTCCCCAGAGAGGTCCGCCTGGTGCTGTCGTTACTTGTTTTTCGGTGCCAGGCTAAGATCTTTTTATTTAAAACTTATTTTAAGTGTTAATTTATTGTGTAGGATTTTAAAATTTTTAAGCCAAGATGCACCGGGTTTTAATATTTTTATTGTATAACTTTGTGTTTGTATAATTTTGTATATCTTTGTTTTTGTTGTAAGCCGCCCCGAGGCTTTGTTGCGATGGGGGTGGCATAAAAATGTTTTAAACAAACAAACAAACAAACAAATAAACTGGCCATGCTAACCCTATGGGAAAACTGGGAAGAGGGATGCAATAGAATATCCTGGCATAGTTGGGTGGCTGGCTTGCAGAAAGCCTGGGCAGAAGCATTCCACACAGCTGCCTTTTGCTGCAGCCCCATTTATTTCAAAAAATATATACATGACTGCACTGTCACTTAAGTTCCATATTTCAGTTATGGAGCACAATCCTGTGAACATGTACTCAGAAGGGAATGATGGGGCTTACTCCCTGGAAATCATGCACAGGATTCCACCCTGGATCTCCCCGTTCACTCCAATGGCTGTTTTTCATAGGCAAAAAGCAGAATATGTGCAACAAGACCCTGCCCCACCCTGATGTCTCCCAGATGTGCTGGACTGCTTCTCCTGCAGTTACATTTGGAAGACCCAAGGTCTTGGAGAGGAATTCATTCTATAGCTTGGTTCCCAGTTGCAAACAGTGGCATATGACCCCTGTACTTGGTCCTGCCAGTGTTGCAAAGAGGAACCGGTCTGTTGGGAAGAACAAACAAATAGGCACACAGACAATGAAGTAAGCAGCTTTGTGAAGAAGAAAAAGACTAAGTAAGAGCTAGAACTGCACTGTTGCATCAGGACCATAATGTGTAATGAATTTATTTTATCCATTTGCAGACATGATTTTCACATGATTTTATCTCTCCAGTGAGCAAGTCAATTTTCATTAATAGCAGCAAGCTGCAGAGATAAAAGGCCACAGCCTGTATGGCAATATCAAAGGGCACTTTGCATGAAATTCTGCCACTCTTAATTCAAAGAGATCTACTTATATATTTGAAATTTCCAGCTGTGTAATCAACAAATCTACATGCATAAGAAAGTGTGCTTTGGGAGAATACTTCAGAAATAAAATAACCTAACAAAGCAATCATATGGCAGTCATGGTTCTCATAGGGCAACTGGCATACTGACTCCACTAGTTGATTTTTCTCAGCAATGGCATGGTGTAGACAGTAAGGATGCAGCCCAGTACCTAGCTATTCACATATTGATCCTACTGAAATTACCGAAGTAATTACCCATATCTGGGACTATGCTGAATTTGTAATCCCAACTAGCAGGTTCATTAGATGGGGCAGGGCGAGTGGATACAGGAACGGTTACCTGGAATAGTCTTGGGCTATATTTGTAAGGATCTGTAGTGACAAACACTGCTCAGAATGGTTTTTAAACCAAGGAGATATTATGCCTCCAAGGAGCAGAAGAAGGTGGAATAGTCCCAGATATGGCAGGCTATGGATTCTCTCGTCCAATAATTATATGTCAGGCCAGTGCAGAAATTATACTTGTGTACATTCCCTTCAGTTCAAGAATGTATTTTCCAACCAGTAAACCCTATAGCTTCTATGTACCCCATACATGGCTAGGTTTCCTTCCAGTCCTACAGGCACTTATAACCAAGTGGTGGAACTAGTAATGGCAAACAACCACTACGGTAAAAACAATTTCTAAGTCACTCCCAGGAATATTCTGTGTAATATATAATGGCCTCTTCTCAATCACTTCCAATGTGATTTCTACACGTAATGAAAGAAAGATCTCCCATGACATGTAACATACAGAGCTCTAAATAAAATGCATGAAAACCATGGCATGGCATGGGACTGAGGTGGATCGCAATATATATGACATGCTCTATCTGTGGAGTGCCTATCTTAGAGTGGAAAATGGTGGGGTGGGGAAGGAGGGATGATGGTATAGGCATGATGGACTATGGGAGAAAGAACGCATTTAAAGCCTTTTTAAAGCATGCCGTGCTTTATGGACAGTCCCATAAGAAAGTAGGCTACTCTGAATCTGTTGCAATGCACGGCAGGATTCAGCTGCATTGTATAAATATTTGATGATATCTAAATCATTTATGACTCTGTCAGGGGTCATTTTACTTGTTTTAGATGAATAATTAAAAGGATAATTAGGAGGATGTACAATCTGAAATGTTCATCTAATTGTTCATTTTATAGTGTCTCTTACTAGACTGTGCAAGATCTCAAAACACACTCACACACACTTTTCTCCCCTTTTCAGTAACACTATCCCTAATAGTTTTATAATCATCAAATACCTCTGGGGTAACCATGGCTCTGTGCCAAGATAGATAATGTCTAGATTTATGGATATTTATGGATCTATCCATCATGAATCATTTTAAATTTACTAAAAGTGAGAATTAGGCAAAACAGAGGAAAGTTTGTGAAGTTTACACACAACCACACCTATCCACACTACTTAACATACCCTTTAATATAAAAGATTCTGACATGAGATTTCCTATAGAAAATTTTAACTTGCAAATTTGCATAATCAGAAATCACATTTTCTCCCTAGTATAGCTTGAGGCAAGAGGGGAAAATTTCTGCTTCTTCATATCATGCATAATTTTAAATATCTCTATCACATCCCCACTCACTTAGCAATTGCAATTGTTTCTCACAGGGGAATTGTGCCAGCTCCTTGATCTTTTTAGTGGCCTTTCTCTGCACCTTTTGCAACTCAATAATGTTCTTTTTCAGGTGTGGTAACTTGAATTACACACAATATTCTAAGTGCGGTTACACCAAAGATTTGTATAAGGGGAGTATGATCTTGGCAGTTTTATTTTCAATGCCTTTCCTAGTTATGCCTAACACAGAGTTTTTCACGCAGCTGTGCAGCGGACTGACAACTGCATTTGCCATTTTGATGCCCATTCTCCCAGCTTGAAAAGATACACTTGGAGTTCCCGCACAATTTCACTTCCCAGTCCTAATTCCAGATCATTTATGACTAAGTTGAAAATAACTTGTCCTGATACGGAATCCTGCGGGAGCCCACTGTTCACATCTGTCCATGGGAAGAAATTACAATTTATTCCCACTCCCTGCTTTCTAGTCTCCCTCTTATTCTATCACTGCTAAATTTGGTGAGTCCTTTGTCAGAAGCCTTCAGCTCTCTTCATTTATAATGCAACCTGTACGTTTCTGCTCAAAGGTAAGTCCCACTGACTAAAAGGTAACTATTTCTAGCTATGTGTATTATCCTACAGCCACTTATCTGAGAGTAAGCCCTACTGAAATCAATGGAATTTACTTCTGAGGAGACATGTATTAGAAAGCACATTAGATTCAGTGCAGACTTAAATTTTTATTAGAAATACTCATATACCTCTTGCATTGCTGACAAATACCTAAGTCATATTAGGAATAGTCTTAACCACGAAAACACAAAAACCTCCATTCAAGTAGGCTGAGACAGAGTTGTGGGGCTGATGAGTTTCTGTCTTCCAAGGGACACCCTTTCCATAAAATAGGCTGAGGCACATAAGCATATTCTGTCACGCAACATCAGCCTCATGGGTCAGCAATAAGGCCAGCAGCATCTATTTCACAGTTATGAAGTGCCTGAACTTGGGAGTGACTGAAACAAGATGGATGATTCCTGCTGATGTAACACCAAACGGTAACAAAGAAATACAAGAAGTAACAATGCTAAAAACTGGGACATTATTTTTGAAATTTGTGTTAATTTTCCCATGAGTTTTCACATCTACAGATTTCACTGGTATAGTTATTCATATTATTCTCTTGCAGCAAAACCAATGAACGGTCTTCTGGCAACTTAAAAAACAATCCTTTTCTTCTGGCATAAGCTTTCATGGGCAAAAGTTTATGTCTCCATGAATTTGTCTGTCTTTAAAGGTGCCACAAGACTCTTTGTTGTTTTATAAATGATTCGCCTGAAAATCCTACCACCCAAAATTCCAGAATTTAATGTCCTGTTGTCTTTCTCTGAACACAGGAACAACCTTGGGGCCTAACATCATCTTACTTGATGCTGGGGTTCATATTAGACATCTTTTAATACATTATTTACAGTAAAACTTGTGTTTCACACTGAGAATTCGCTTAAGAAAACCATTATGAGTGTAATACCACGAATGTTTAGACAGGAAAAAGTCCAGCAATTCCCAGCATGCCCCAGTCAAACATGTGTGCTGGGGACTTCTGGGAGTTGTAGGATTTTCTCTATCCAAACATGCATATGATTATACCTTACGCAATTATCTGCAGCAGCTGCATTCAGGTGTTCAGTTACATGATCGTAAGAAAATGTCAGCACTCTGCCCTTCAAGTCCTGCGAGCGTGTGGGGAGCCTGTAGGGTTTCCCTTCTACACACATTCCATCCTAATGTGCGGGTGGGAAAAGGGCAGTACTGATGCCCCATGAACAGGTGGGTGAGGTTCTGGCCACACTCTCCCCTTCTATGTGCCTCTAAATTACAGGAATGACTGTCCAAACAAGGACATAGTTATCATGAATGACAATGCAATTATATAAAAGTCCAAAGGGAAAAAAGGAAAAAAATAATGAGACCTTACCAGTTTTCCCAGTATTTTTCATCCATGTCTTGTTAGAAGATTCATTATCAAAACCAACTAGGCGTATTTCTTGATATTCTTCTCCAACACGTGCCTGATGATCTATGATATCTATTGGAGACTGATGAGTTTTCCCACAATCGACATTTGAAGCAACCCAGTGCTCAGGACCGTATGCACCTGTTGCAAAGGAAACAACAAGAAAAACTTTGTACTGATGGTCCACCCAATAAGCAAATTTGAGTTATGAAGTGGCCTCACTAATTGCCCTCAGTCTCCTCCACCCTGTAGCCAGGTTTGCTTGTTGAAAAGAGCAGCCACATTTCTATGCAGAGTATTTCTGTGGGGAACAGAGACTCATAGCTCCAGCCAATCTTCCCCTCTCTTTTGGAGAGGATGCAACAGCCAGACCAAGTAAAGGGAAAAGCAGTGTCCTTCCTCCTCCATGCTGAGACATTAGGCTGTAATGGGCTGTTAAAACATGATATTTTAGGGTTGCCTTCCTAAGTCTTTTGGGCCAAGTTTCTTCTTCCTAGTTGATCTACCCACTCATCCAATTTCTATATCACCCAACAGCCAAAATTCCCTGCGTGGTTTATAACAGCACATTAAAAATATAAATACATTCTGTTAAAAATATATTATACATCATAAAATGTAATACAAAATGTAAAGCCAACTTTAAAACAGATATTTTAAAATTGTAATAACTAGAAGAAAGCTTAAGACATGATTAAAAAACTATCAGATCCCAGCAGGCTAACTGAACACTGCAGTAGGGGGCAGTCTTTACTGTGTTCCAAGATGACAGTAAAGTTGACCCCAGGTGGGTTGCAGTGGGAAGCATGTTCCATTTAGCTTCTGGATGACTAGCAGAAGTGACTGTTTCATACTTAGCCATCCAGGGCCCCAGGAAAAGGATTTTAAAAAGTTCCTAAGGTTGTGAGTACAGTGGATGTCTTAAAGGATAATGCGTGACAGGGCAGGTTTTTGTTTTGCAGATCAGTTTGAATAATCCCTTCATTGCACCCTTTAGCGATTGAGCATCCAGCCCTGCTCTACTTATTGTAACAAATGAAGAACAGACAGACAGACAGACAGTTCTTAGTGCAGGCAAACAAATGTAAAGAGCACAACAGAAACTGAAAAAGAGAGCACAAGAAAGTCCAAGAGGCAGTAGCTAAATCTAGCTCTTAATAGAAAGTTCTGGTTATTACAAAGTTCCAATATTGAATTCTTCAAAAGTTCATGTTACTGGTGTTTTTTCCAGGATCATTTGAGTAATTACAGAGTGAGCACGATCATGAAAATCCCATGCTCTGTCAGGGAACTCTTGAGAAAGTAGAATTTTGGTGCTCTTCCAGATGAGGCTTTTATTGTACATTCCTCCTGCCTTATTCACTGATTCTTTTAAGAGGGTTGTATTCTTAAATTGCTCATGTCATATTTTAATGGAGGCTGTAATTCTCTATCATGTCACAAATTAAAAAAGACAATTTCCCCCCAACAAAAAAATAAAAACCAAAAAACCCTAAGGGGGTATGTGATGCACATTTTTGTGATAGGAGTGCCTAGTGCATTAATTTACCCCATCTTAGCTGCAGGACTGGTCCTACCTCCAGCATAAATCATCATGATATTTGTAACCTGGTACCTCTGCTATTAAGTCATTTTGTATTTACTTATACATCTTTCATTGCCAATAATTTTTTGTAACTACCCTTTATGGTATACAAGTATATAGATAATATAACTGAGAATATAAAGCCAAACATGGATAAAGACTAGCACCAAATTAACTGGCAGATCAAACAATGAACTAGCAATATATATGTATGTGAGAGAGCAAGGGAGAGAAAGCACACATGCTAGAACACTTCGGATTAATATTCTGTGTTATTTGTAATTGCTAGATTATGTTCCAATGAAACTTATTTGTTCACTGCTAACTACCCAAAGGTTTAAAACTATCTGCTAGCTTTTCTGTCCATGAACATTCAAGTGCAGTTTTAATTGCAACTGATCTTCCACTACAGATTTCAAATTAATTCTTTCTCTTGAGTGTCTCATGCTCCAGACACTACTGTCTTGAGGGGAAAAAAACTTATATCACAGGGAAAGAAACAGATTTTTTTTTCTAGTTTGCAGTTATTGATTACCCATTCCCTAAATCAAAGCACAACTGCTGCTCCACACTATAATTTTTCACTCAGTAATAACACACTTTATATAATAAAGAGAATTGTATCACCAATCACTTTAATTTGTTATGGCAAGTTGATTTTTAAAGTAATATTTAAAAATGAAGAGGGATATTCCAAATGTTGCTTATGCTTTTCCATTTTTTCTTTTACTTTTTTCTTTAAATAAAACATGGAACTTGGTAACAACTGCAGTTATTTGAATTTAGTAGGAAAAGGAAATTCAAGACTCATACAGCTCATACACATGTGCATGTTTATGTAATTGGCAACAAGTGGACCAATATATTGAAGAATTTGTCAATATAAATGATAAATAATATATGCTTGGAGCCATGATCCAGAGAACCACCTGCAGAAAGAGGTGGGTAGAAGATGTCCTTCCTGCACACCTCTCTTCCCAACCACTCCATGGAAACCACTCTCCAAATGATCTTATAAAGGTGGAAAACTCTTCTGAATGGGGTGGAATGGTTGAATTGTAGGCTGATCATGGAAACTTAGGTTGAAGCACCTTCTCCGCAAGGCTCAACTCAAAGGAACAGCCTCTGTCTGCTTAGCAGAGGCTACAGTAACCAGGGGAGCCTTTTGGGATGTCTTGGGATGGTGACTCCCATGGAGAAGAGGGGTAGAAGAGTCGCCTTCCAAGGGTCGATCTCTAAATCAAAATCATCTTTCTGCAACCCAGCAAAGCTGGAGCACTTTCTGCTTGCTTATTTCTTCTGATACTTAAAGCTCACTTTCTCCCTCCAACTGGGACACAGTACCTAACAAAGCACAAAAAAGCTAAAATCCTTCCTTCTCTCCCATAAGGTTGAAGCCCCTAACTCAGGAGGTGGAGCAGCAAAAGTAGCAAATTCTACTGGTCCTCCTGCCAGTTTAAATGGTTTTTAAAATAATTTAAAATGTATACATACATACATGCCCCCCTCCTAGAAAATTCCAGTAGAGACTAGTGTTGTGATATGCAACTTCTGAACAAGGCTTTACAATTTCCATTGAACTTTCTCCCTGTATTATTTAATAAATGCCAAAATCATACTGATGCCCTTTCTGGAATGTTATACTTTTAATGGCAGTGTAGAACCACCATGTACAGTGAAGTATTCTGAGCAAAAGGTAACATTAAGTTAAAAGAAATGAAGTATCAGCAATTAGCTGTAGGTTGTACCCAGTGGTTGCTCTCCTTGCTTTACAGTTGCTCAAGTTGCAGTATCCCATTTTTGCCAATTCCCCCCTTCTTCTGCAGGTCTCTGACACATTGATATCCTGAGATACCCCAACCCTCAAGAGCACCTTTTCACGGATGCAATGAACCTCAGCCAGTCATAGAGCACTGGGGAAATGGCCCACATCATGCAAGCATAACCACTTTCCTTGAGTGGATACAATCCCATGATTCCTACAAAAAGAACATAAGGTTCTGAAGGGCCCCTCATTACAGGAAGGATATAGCCAGGTTAGAGTCAGTGCAGCGTAGGGCCACAAGGCTGGTGGGCGGTTTGCAGGGGATGGGGTTTGAGGCGAGACTGAGGGAACTGGGTCTTTTCAGCCTGGAGATGAGACTCAGAGGGGATCTGTTGGCGACATACAGGTATGTGAGGGGATGTCACACGGAGGTGGGTAGAGATCTGTTCTCCCCTGCAGAGGAAGGCAGGACGTACTCCAACGGAGCAAAGCTCAGGGAGCCAAGGTTCCATTTGGATGCCAGGAAGCACTTCCTGACAGTCAGGACCTCGAGGGTGTGGAATGGGCTTCCACGGGAGGTCGTTGAGGCCCCATCGGTGAGGGTGTTCAAGGATAGGCTGGACGTCCACATGGTGGGCATGTCGTGAGTGGAGCCGGCTGGTGCCAGAGGTCAGACTAGATGGCCCGGGAGACCCCTTCTGACTCACTCTGTTTCTATGTTTCTAAGTTTTACATGACAGATTATCTGCCAATGGGGCCAAATAAACTGAGAATATAGTATCTAAAGACTTGCTTGAGAACTTCCAAAAAGTATTTGGCTGGCCAGTGCTGGGCCTCATAAACATGCTGATGAGAATTACACTGAGCTATCCTGAACAGAGAGGTCCCCATGCCACTTTCTCAATATTGGTGGATATTTATTTATTTAGAAAATTTCTATGCCGCCCCATTCACCGAAGCCTCGGGGCGGCTCACAAACCACCACTGGAAAAAGAATGTTGTGGGCAAATGGTCTAAATAACCAAGACTGTCATGCCTGAAGCCCCGACAGAGACAGCACCTCATGAGGAGGTCTTGTGCTTGGGACCCTGTACCCAAATGCCAACCCCACAACCTGGCTTGGGGGTGGCTGAGCAGATAGCTGCACCTCCCCCTGACTCCCTGCCCATTGAGCAAACACCCGAGCCCACATCAAAGCAAGAGAGCCCCGAGAGAAAAGACACTACGAGTTCTGCTCAGAAGGAGTCAGAGCAGGCTGTCCCTCCTCCCACTGACGCTGAACTTCCTGAACATGACACAGGAGGCGCAGGGGATGCGATCGACTTTTCCCTAGTAACCAATCGCAGAACTCTGAGGAGGTGGGAACAAAGGCAGGTCTTGTTATGCCAGAGGGAAGAAAGGCGGGGCCAGGAGAGCTAGTCCCACCTGTGCTCAGGGAGAGACGCCACTAAAGGATTAGCATCTGCATTGCAAAGACCTCAACGGTAGAGCTTATCTATAGAGTTGTAAATCTTGTAGACAAGTAGCAATAAAAGACTTTAGTTTTATTGCTAGAGAATGTGTGGCTTGTTTACATGTTGAGCTGCACCTCGACAAAGACAGTTCCTACATTCAAAGTTCAATGCAAGTCTTCTTCCAAGTTTTGCTTTTTTATAGGAAACACCTTCCCTCTACCTGGAAAGGAGGGAATGTGGAATCCTTGTATAGACCCTCACCTTAAATGTTTGTCCTTTCATCCTTTCAATTAAAATCAGCTGTCTAACTGTAGCTTTAATAATAGCTTCATTAATA